TCTAGTTGACTCTGATTAATTTCGAAGCGAATTTCTAGAACCTCTCGGAGTTTGAGCTTTTTTATAGGAAAAGTTGTAAAGAAAGTCCTTATGTATAATGGTGTAGTAGGAGTGCTACCTTAAATGTGGATCACCGGTCCGGACGAACGTTCTATTCAAGCGATCGGTTTTATGCCGCATGTTTAGCGGCTCCTGTACAATAAGGCGTTGAAGTTGGCATAAAATTATTATTGTTGGTGGGGAAAGCTTCCTTATTACTGGAGGTCCACTAGGGTCACTTGTGAGTCAAGCTATCAGTCCAGATAAATGCTTTATCTGGCAATATTTCGAAGAAAAGAAAGCAAGAGGAAGCCACATGACATTTTATTTCGGCAACCTGTAATGTCCATTTCGACGGCTGCAATGTATAAGTTAAAACAGTTCATTGCACGCCAGTCCTGAATTCCGTACCGTAGTTTTCCATATGCTATAGATACGAACACATTTTTTTTCAGCGTCAGGAGGATTACTTACTTACCGGAGAGGAGTATCGCAAGTATGCTGAAAAACTGTTTAAGTTTAAAACTATTCAGGTATTGAGTAGTTTGACTTTAGTTATTGCAGCGTACGTTTCAGTTGTAAACTAGAATCTTGACGTACTTTTATCTAGGTCAAAAAATTCAACAACTTCAAGGAGAAGAAAGCTGCGTATCGCGAGAAGCAGTTGGATCAAGCTCTGAAGGAGTCAGGTAGGTGGTTAATCAGTGATAGGTAATTCTCGTAACTAGGAATTGTTTCGTCTTTCTAACTGGTAAGAAGTGAGAAGGTGACCTGAGATGTAATCTTGCTTATGTGCACTACGTTCATACTTCGCGACCGGTCACTCGAAGCGAACGACAGAGTGACCAGGAGCGAACCACAAGCACACTATTAGTAGCGCCTTTGCAATTAAAAGTACATTAAGTAAGAATCAAATGAATTCAACTTTTAAGGTGTTCCTATGAAGATGAGGGAAGTGTTAAAGAAGAAAGAGAAAGCGCCTGCTGGGGTAAGTTTCGTTGTTTAACCGAGAAAAACGGCATTATAATGTCTCGATGTCCCTCTGTTACAGTCTTTCTGTTACATTTTGGGTTGATCCAATTTTTCGGACCGGTTAATTCTTCATAATCATGAATGAATTTACAGTTAGCTCTGATACATATCGAATCAGCTGACCCACGTTTTCACAAGCGAAGTTTCGTCATGAACCCGCAAGGAAAGTCTTCGATCACGGTTCTGCACGAGTACTCACAACGGGCATTGAAAGGGCGTACGATTTATCACATTGAGGAGACGAGGTTGGTTTTTACATAGTTTTTCATGCTATTACAACACTTCCCACCCCTGAGAAGCAATATTGCGTGCGGGCAGTCAATTGAGGGGTTATTCTTGACGTTGCGGTAGCAGATAGGCAGATTTAGGATATATAGATATTTTTTTGAAATAGTCATCCTTGGGGAGGTTGCCAGTTGAGGTAGCTGGTCATGTGACAATCTCGGTTCTCTAAACGTGTTCCTAGTTGACGAATCAGTTGAACCGGCGCTTAAGCAAAAGTGGCGGTTTTGGAGATTGCGCGAAAAAAGTATGGGTATCAATCTCGGCGTTTTAAGAGAATTGCCGATATGGGAGAATCAGCGGAATGGGTACACTGAGATAGTGCGCGAGAAGGAAAGTATAGATATGTACCGGTATATGTACTTGGTAACTAGCGTTTTGGGAGAATCAGCGTATTGGGAGAAAGCGAGCAAAGGTATAAATGGGTATCGTTCAATGCCAGTCTTCAGTGTTTCGAGAGAGAATAGGAGAATAACAAGGTCAAGGCCTGTATATGGTCGCAGAATATCTGCATTGCTGTTCTACGACGCCTAATCACATCGTCTAGAACCCTATTATTCTCCCATTCTATCTCAAAACTCTAGCGATTCGCGCCGATTGATACCCATCCTTCCTCTAGCGGTTACGGGGCTCTTGTCAACCAGACGTGCTCTCGCTGCAAGGGTCCAGGGGTATTTTCTCGAGGCATCTACCAGTCCAGTAGTTTCAGTCCAGTAGTTTAAGGGAA